ATTCTGGTGTGTATTCCTGGAGAGGAAATGAGGCAGGCAGGGCTGCATGGATACAGACCAGAACAAAGAGAAAACAACTTATGATCAGCTGCTCTACTCAAGATCCTACTCTCTGCTATGTTGTAGGCTCACCAGATGTTGGCCTCTGGACCTCAGACCTTTAAATCATGAGCTTAATAGAATTCCAATTCTTTAAAAATCACCCAGATTTGGGTAGTTCTGTAGGCAATGTGTAACAGAGTAATACACTTCTGCATCTCATCATTTAACAAATTTGCACTTTTATTTACATCTGAACTCAAAGCTCGCTTAGTCTGGAATCCTTTTCTGATGCCATGGAGGAGATTAAGTGCTTCCCAAAACCTGTTAACACTGTAGCACAGCCTTTACCACACTTGTTTGACATTGTCTGTTTAATTGCCTATCTTCTACATTGGTCAGCACATCCTATGAAACAAGAAACATTCGTCTCTTACAGACCATTGTACTACCAACATATGGCACAGTGCTGGAACATAGAAAGTACTTTGTACCACTGTCCAAAAATTTTTTTATTTTACAGCTTTTTTTGCTATAGGGCACATGCACTCACCAGAGAGACAGAGAGAACCAGAAAATGTGAGAAATCACCCCCCTGGGGGAAGGCTGGCCACACTACAATCCCTTTTCCTCCATTTTCTTCTTGGGATTTTGGTCATGCATGCACATGCAGCTAGTGTGAGTTTCAAGCCACCAGGTCCAGGATTCAAACCACATTTGGCCATGTGGGAGTCGAGCACTTTAACCACTATGTCACCTGCTGACCCCATCACCCTAAAACTCTAAAGCATCTAAGAGAGAAATATTTCTCTATTCTAGTTAAAGATGAACATAAATCCCACATTATTATCCAATGTCTTCCGTTATTTTTTAGGTGGGTTTTGTTTTTCCAATTATATCTTTGGACTTTTGCTCATGAACCAAGTGATAGACTGCTTGAAAGCTAATTGGTAAGTCCACCATTTACAATGTAGAATGATCTTTATTATAAAAATCAATGATAGACAATAAGAACCTTTTGCATCAGCATAAATTCATACTTTAAGTTTATTTGTCACAAATATTTTGAAGTCCTTTTGTATATTGCACACAATAAAAGAACACACAAAAATATATACTCAACAACGGAACTCATAAAGTATGTGTTCATTTCATCTAAAAGATGTTTTATTATTTCTCTTAATCAGTATATAATCTAGGTTGTCTGCATTTATTCTTGAATTTCATTGAGGTTTTTATTTACATATTTATAATTTTCATCATATTTCGAAATTTCTCAGTTATCATTTATTCAAATATGTATGCCTACTTCTTCTGGAACTTTAAATGTGTGTGTGTGTGTGTGTGTGTGTGAGTGTGTATACATTAAAAATAAAGTATTGGACTGCTTATTATTGTCCTAAGTTCACTGAGACACTGTTAACTGTTTGTCTTTTATTTCTCTGTGCAAACATGAATATTTTTTCTTTCCTTCTTTTCAAATTCAGAAATACATTTTTCTGTAGTTTTCAGTCTCTTATTAAATAGATCCAGTGAGTTTCTTACTTCACGTATTGTATTACTCAGATCTAAACTTTCCTTTCTAATACTTTTTTAAAAGTTTCATATTTCCTGTGTTCACTCATTATGTACATCTTTTCATTTAAATCCTGGAAATTTTTTATGATAGCTGCTTTAAGAATTTTGATACTAATTCCAACATCTGCTGCATCTATCAGTCTGTTTATGTTTCCTTCTGTTTATGACTTACCCTTCTTTGCTTCTTCACAAATCTAGTAATATTTTACTGTATGTATTATATCAAAAGACTTCAAAACGAATTGTGGGAAATAAAACTGAACTGTGAGTTTATTCTTGTGCAACATACTCTGAAATCCATGCATATGTTTTTTTCACAATACACATTTTCCATGAACTTTTGAAGACACCCTCATATTATATCTATGCTATGATATTGAAAGTCTGATTTTTATTGCCTTCCTTTTGGGTATTGAATGCTATTCTGACAGACAATTAATTTTCTGGCAGAGAAGTTTTATCCTGTAAAGTATCTCTTCAGATTATTTTAGGGCTGATCCAGAGTAGCACTTATTCCAGGACTGGATTCAGACCTATGGTTAGTGATCGGCCTTTCTGAGATATCTGCTGAATTCCCCATATGTCCTCTATTCTGTCTAGTCAAAATTTTTTCATTTCCAGGCAATATGTAACCTCTGCATAGATCTCATGGAAACTCACTGTATGCACATGAAGCGTAGTGTTCAGATAAGTACTGTCACGGTCTCTATGTAGAATTTTGGAGATCTGTATGGCTCTTTAATGTCTACTACACTGCCCTACAATATCCAGTCACCCAGTAGCTCTAAATCTCTATCTTGATTATCTCCATCCAACAAGACCATGTTACCTATTTGGGTTCTGCATCACTCTGCCATAGTTTGAAAAATATTCCAAGTAGAAATTGAGTGAATTTGGAGTTCACCTCAGGTACTTCCCATTTTACACACACACACACACACACACACATATATCAAAAAGCACCTTTGGGACTTGATTTCTATCTACTCACCAACCAAAGAAAATGATACATCTTAGAAGTCATATGAAGAAACTAACTTTGTATTTTTGAAAAAATATTTCCTGAGTGAATGAGGAAAAATAAATGTCATTGGTTAGATACAAACTGAAGATACATGTGATATTTTTCTTTTTGTCTTCTACTTTTGAGTACAAGAATTGGAATACTTAATTTTTCCCCCAGTTATTGAAGATAAATAAAATTGGGAGACCACCCAGTATCTGTTTTGTGTTTTCTTTTAAACAGAATTGACTCTTACCATTATTTGTGAAGGGCAGAACAGTACGTCAGCCTATTTTCTATATAATCTGCTCTGAAGGATCCAGGTCAGAGAACAAACATGTTAGATGAAAATGTACATGGATGTTCTTTGTGTCACTTGCCTTTGCAAGAAAGCAGCCCGATTTCTCTGACCAAGGCAAAGGTCAGATGAACCAAAAGCAAGTCTAGCTATTTAGGAAACTGTTGCAGATCATAATCTGATTAAGAGTTCCAGACATGTTAATAAGGCTTCTGTGAAATTCACATTAAATTACAGTTAGGTGGTATAGTTCATTCATTCATTCATTGATTCTTTCTTTCTTTTTTTTTTTTTTGAAGAGGTTTTTGCTATGGGGCATGTGTGCTTGCCAGAAAGACAGAGAGAGACAGAGAGACAGAAAGTAAGAAATCAACACCCCCTCAGGGAAAGGCCATGCTACAATCCACTTTTCATTCTCCTCTCGAGATCTTAAGCATGTACGCACACATGCCCGGTGTGAGTTTAAGCCACCAGGTCTGGGACTCGAACCATGGTCGACTACATGGGAGTTCAGCAACATAGCCATTACACCAACTGCTGGTCCTAGATAATATAGTTTTGAGGAAGAAACTATGTTTCTGAGTTTATGAACAGCATGGATAGAGAGGTGAGTGCGGACAGGATGAAGCAGGGCAGGGGTTCTCACTTTGAACTACACTACAGAATCTTTTGGGAGATTGAAGAAAACACTGATGTGCGCCTTCTGGTCTCAATCAAGATATTTTAAATCATAATTTGGGGGAGGATATCCATCTCCTATATTAGAAGCCCATTTCTTCTTAGTCAGAAAGGGAAAAAAAATGATTGAGGTGACAAAGGTTGAGGATTGAAGAATTTGAGTATCTACTACTCAAAAAGGAGTCTGCTCAGATTTATTGACTATTCTGAAGATGATGGTGACTGTCCCCCTCCTAACAATGACATTGAGACCTCAAGGTTTGGGAATTTAAAATGCAAATAATCAATATTAATATAGATCTTTAATTTTATCCAGCTACTTTTAGAATGTAAATAGATATCATAGTGGTAGATGAGTACACATTTTGCTCTTGGAAAAGCAAAAAACCACAGAATATCCATGTTTGACAGACTTTAGAGATTCTAGCTACCAATTTTGCAAATGAAGAATGTAAACCTTGGGCCAGCAGGTGGTGTGTTAGTTAAGCAGCTGGATTCCAAATAGCTGACTGTGTGGTTTGAGTCTCAGACCATAGGCTTGTGCATGCATGCCCAAAATTCCAAGAGCAGAATGGAGGAGAAGGGATTATGGCATTACCATCTCCCCAGAGGGTGCCTTCTTTTTTCTATCTGTCTTGCTCTTTCTTACTCTCTCTCCGGTGAGCATGTGCACCTTATAGCAAAATTACAAACAACAACAAAATCCTAATGGGAATTTGATGGCTTGGGTAACAATCAAGAATAACAGCAAGGCTTACATTTTAGATATATTGAGACCACTTCAAATATTTTTTTTCAAATTAAGTAGCATTTTTTCCCATAAATACTACCAGAAGCTACTTAATTTAAAACTGCTGTAGCAGTTTCCCAAAATAATGATAGATGTAATGTTAAATAGACAAGAGGAGCAAAGAAAGTGATACTTCTAAATAAAACAAAAATTTTAAAAAGCTACGATCTCATGGCTCTTCAATAAAATTGCAATACATCATTTTGTCAAATACTATTTTGAAAAAACATTTCTCTAAATGATAAGTATTATCATAAAAATGCTATATAAAGTAAATCTGGCATAGCAAGAGCTCATAGACTTTGATATTCAAAAATCACTGGGTGAGTGCATGGAGTCCTATGTCATGAATTGAATCCTCTGGCTCCTACCTCTTCATTCACACATTTCTTTGCTGCTAATTATTCAAAACTTTATATTGTATTTTAGATAAATAAAACTTTGCCTTGGAGTTCAAGGGGAGTTCATGTTGGTTTCTAGAGTTGTATTTTTTTGTAATAGAATAAGAAAAAATTTCCATGATTAGAGTTATTTCCACAATTCAAGCAATCCCATCTCCAAACATTGTTGAACTCAGTTGTATTGATGCTGTGTGGCCATGACACTCCACTCACCTCTTACAATTAGCTGGCTTTGGTGTTCCACAGCTGCTGCCTCATTCCTGGCAATACAGGTGTAATTCCCATTATGCATCAAGGAGAGATTGGAAATCCTTAAGGAGCTTGTGAAGTCGATGTTGTCAATGGTCACTCCGAGGCTCGCTGGAATTGGCCGGCCATCCTTTTGCCAGGTGATTGTGATAGGTAAGTCCCCTGAGACCACAACACATGGGATGAAGACTCGCTGCCCAATAGAGAATCTTGGAAACTCAAAGGGTTGGATAAAAGGTGGAACTGAAAGAAAAGGAAAAACAAAAACTAATATGAGAAAGATAACAACTGTGTGCATATTCTACACTTTCTTTTCCCTTAAACCACTTGTATGCCATTGAAAAGGTAGTAAAATCATTGATATAACATATAAATAATATTAACTGTAGAAGATGTAAAATTATGCTTGTTATTAAAATTTTCTCATCATTCTACATGATAAGCATGGCTTTATTTGCATTTCAGAAAATATGCTTAACCTAACTTAAATAAACTTTTTTTTAATTAAGTAATATTTTTGAATGGAAACTCTGTTCTGCAATGTAAATGCCATGAAACAAGGATTTGGGCTTGGCTTTTCCTTCAAAGCTTCTAAAAATTATGTGTGTCGGAGTAGACTGCTTTCCTGCTTTGCTATTAATAGCACTATAATCACTGCCCCCATCCCCACCAATGCACCTCACTTCATGCTTTACAAATAGGCATATTCTGATGAAGAAGTAAATTTTATTGTTAAAGTCATCTTTTACACCTAACAAATAATGCCCATCAATTTAAAAAATGTATCTTATATTATGATAATCAGATCTTTACTCCATATCCCTTAGTTTTATACATCCACATAAATGACCTTAAATTATAAACTGGTTCAAAGCAAATTGTCTGAGTTGTTGAAGTATGTTGCCAGTGAGGACAAGGTTTTTCTGCCATAAGTCATGTGCACTTACAAGGGAGAGACACACAAAAAGAGAGAAAATAAGAAATAGCCTTTGGATTGACCAACCATGGACACAGCTGAATTCAGTCTGGAAATTCAGTCTTTCCTGATTGAATTTCTTTGACGAACTCTTGTTTACCCTTCTTGCTTCAGGGCAACTCTTCCTCAGTGCCTTCCTAGATGAACTTACAGAATATTAGCTTCATAAAATGGTTAAAATAGAGTCAGAGAAGTTAAGTTTGAATCCTATCTTGGTTATTTATTGTAGTTTCTATAGCTATGGGATTATGGGCAAGTTTTTATAGAATCTTCCTATCAGCCTAGTGGGATAGTTATCCATAGCTCCATTTTGTAGAAGGGGACATTGAAACTAAAAGATTTTACTTTGCCCTTGATTATGTTTTCTTATACATAGTTTTTTAAAGTTTATTTATTTACTTATTTTTAGTTTCTTTGTTTCCTGCCATAAATCATGTGCATTTACAAGAGAGAGACAGATAAAAAGAGAGAAAAGAAATCACCCCCCGCCCCCCTCAAGGGAGATGGCCACACCACAATCCATTTTCCTCTTGGGATTTTGGCATGCACCTAACATGATTTTTAAGCCACCGGCTGGGACTTGAACCATTGTCTATCTTCTGGCCTCCAAAAAAGTTTGTTCTTATGCAAGGCTTTAGATATGACCAAGAGTGCAAAGTAGGATGCTAAGCATGTAATAACCTAACACATACCAGTTATTATAGCAGGTGATTTTACAGAATAAAGTTGTTAATAGCAGGATGTCTATAGAGTTTGTTCACTAATAAACTGAAGGTTTGTTTTAGCTATCAACTCAAAGGAAATGTGAGGCATCCAGCTGAGAAATAACTTAATGAAAAACTATTCATTCATTCAGTCAGTCAATCAAAAAAAAAAAAGCTTATTGAGCACTTGCTATGTGCTTGGCAACACTGAATGTACTGTAGACACAGCAATGAGCATCACACATTAGTCTCTGCTGGTGGTGTTTTCACATATAGAACAGACAGCAGGCAGCAAGAATGCTTGGCCACAGATATTCCATTATTGAATATCACTGCTATTGCTACTACATGCTTTCAAAAGCAGTTGAGAGCAAGAACTCAGAATTGCAAATATAGCCATAGCTCAAAAGACCAACACACAGGTGACTCAAGTTAGATCTTACCAAATAAATTAAAATACAAACAAGGAAAAATGGCTGAAGGGGGAACCAGCAGTTAGCATAATGGCTATGTCGCTGGGCTCCCACATAGTCGACCGTGGTTCACATCCCGGACCCAGTGGCTTAAAACTCATGCCGAGCACGTGTGCATGCATGCCCAAGATCCCGAGAGGAGAATGGAGGAGAAGGGATTGTGGCGTGACCATCCCCCCTGGGGTGTGATTTCTCGCTTTCTGTCTCTATGTCTCTCTCTGTCTGGCGAGCACACGCGCCCTATAGTGAAAGACTCTCCAAAAAAATAAATAAATAAATAAAACGCTGAAGGTACCAACATGCACTCTCAATGTCAAAACTGCTCTGTATTCTCAATGTAAAGTGAAAGCTTTGGGTCTATGATGAGGTGACTAGATTGTAAGAGGAAAAGATGCCAAGACGAGGTTCTACCTGGCATTGGTAGGCAGAAATGGTAAGCTTAAGGTTGTAATTGCTCCCAGTGGGAAGTTGCTGGGGAAAGTGTCAAATTGTACTGAATATGCTTATATTTCTTTAAATTTTACCCTGAATGGCAGAGATGTTTACTATACATGTAACCATGAATAATAATTAACAAATTGCCATGCTTTGTTATTTTAAAACTTAAATGTTCCTTTCTTTGGTCTCTTACACACAAAAATCTGGCAGTCATTCAAACCTTGGCATTTACTATTTACTTGGTTCTTGTCTAAATTGCAAGATATTTTTCTAATCAGGAAATTTGGAGCCAGACACTGGATTATATGTGGTTGTCCTACTTTTTTCTAATCAGGAAATTTGGAGCCAGACACCGGATTCAGTGTTGTTGTCCTACCTTTTGTAGTTATTTAACTCTTTTCTGAGGTTGGTTTCCATTTTTGTAAAGTAGAGATCTGTTGCTCTGAATGAGTTAGCACAGAAGTTCACAAACGTTAGAATCTGAATCAGATTCTCAGCACTGATTCCATTTCATAAACCTTTGAGATAGAAAAAAAGAGAAGTTGAAGGGAGCTGGACAGTGGCACAGTGGTAAAACACACCACTCTGCAAGGCTAATCCGCATGGGAAGGTTCCAGGTTCTTATCTGGAGATTTCTCTGAGTATGCCAGGCATTGTGTGCCTATGATCCAAGGGGTGGCTGAGGCTGAGGGTGGATTATGGCATCAAGACCCTATAGAGGGTATTCTCTCTCTCTCTCACTCATAGAATAAATTAAATAAACTTTTTTAAAAGGATAAATTAAGATCTTATTGGGCAAGGGAAAGGATTCCATTTTTCTATCAATTACAATAGGGAGAAGGAATCTATAAAGACTTATTTTCTGTTTTCTAAATCAGCAAAGAAAGGTAAGACATAATATATTTTTTGACCCAGCTATTTTTTTCTTTTCTTTTTTTTAATTGCCAGAGAGTGTGTCTGCTTACCTGAGAGCAAACCCTCTAATGGAGTATGGTCATGCCACAATCCCTTTCTTCCATTTCTCCATCCTATCAGGATTTGGGGCATGCTTCCCCATGCATTCAGCATGTTTTTCAAACTGATGGGGCTAGGGTTCCAATTGCATCAGCAATGTGGGATCCTGCTCCCAAACACTTAGCTTAACCACTGTACCACATGACTGGCCTTGACTATTTAATAAGAAATCAATACAGAATGTAGCCTATATATAATTATGAAATATAAGAATGTCCCCTTACAGCAGAGGATAGTTACAGGTTAGAGCGGGGTTATGTGCATACTATTTTCAAGAACAGAGGCAAGAAGTAGCTACAGAAGAATCATCACTAAGAACAAAATAAAATAATTTCAAAATATTTAGAACTCTTTGATTTCCTGAAGTATAAGGGACATAACGATAAAGAAAATTATAGAAGCTTCAACTATTAGCAACATTGCTGAGATCAAGGAGTAAGCATCCAATGCAATGAGGATAAATGTTAGAAAGCTAACGCACGTATTGTATGTATATCACTCAGAGGGTACTCCCTGGTTTTGAACAGCTTATTTTAAACCATTTTGACGCTCTCAGTTATCTTATTTTTTGGTCTAAACTAGAGGCTGAAAACTCAGGCATACTGATGAGGGCTTAGGAAGAAACCACAATTAGCAAGCTGAACAGGTGCAAAAAACTGAAGGTAAACTGCACAGATACACAGAGTAGACACAAGAACACAGCACACACCACAGGTGGGGGCATTTTGTCATAGGGCACATAACTCGTAATAGCTATTTTGTAATTTATACAAAATTATAGTGCATAATTAAGATCCTGAAACATAATTTATGGTTAAGATAGTAAATGATAAAAAGACCTATTTAAGGGAACAGTAGATGATGACATTGCTGGACTCCCATGTAGTCACAGTTCGAGTCCTGGATCTAGTGGCATGGAATGCAGAAGGTTGTGTGTGCATAAATGCCCCAAATCCTGAGAGGAGACTGGAGTAGAAGAGATTGTGGTGTGGCCATCCTCCCTGTGGGGTGATTTCTTGCTTTCTGTCTCTGTCTCTCTAGTGAGTACACATGCCCTATAGCAAAAATCTCTCTCAAAAAAACTAAAAAGATATGTTTAAAATATTTTAATACATATTCACAAACAAAAATCTCTACCCAAAATAGTTAAAATAAAAATTTTCATCAGGCCAGATGGTGGCACAATGAGAGAATGCAACATTCTATGAAGTTGACCCACTTAGGAAGGTTCTGGGTTTGTGTCTGGAAACTTCCCTGAGTACATTGGCTTTGGGACTGCCAAGATCCAGGGGTGGCTGACACCAGGGCTGGATTGCAGTGTCAAGATCCTATTGGGAGTGCTTTATCTCTGCCTCTTTGTCTCTTTCACTCATGGAATAAATAAATAAACTTTTAAAATATTTTATTTCTATTAAAGGACTTAGAGGAAGTAATTTTCTGAGCATAATGGCAAAATCATGTTGTTACGTACTGTTTATATAGAAACATGCTCTCTCTCTCTTTCTCTCTCTCTCTCTACACACACACACACACACATCTCTCTCTCTCTCTCCACACACACACACACACACACACACATGTAATAGAGAGTGTGTTTGCATGCATGAGAGAGAGAGAGAACCCTTGAGGGTTCCGCCA